CTGGGAAGAGAGCTAAAAATATCTTTACATTGGTTTATTATTTTTGAGACATAGTCTTGTCTTGTCGCATGACTGGTACTTACTGAACCAAGACTGGCCTCAAGATTATGACAGTTCTCCTGCTTCAGTTTCCTGAGTGCTCGAATTACAGATGTGAGCCACTATGTTGGGCTTAGAATTAAAAAGATTGTTATTATATGTTTGTAAGATATATGTGTGTAGGTGTGTACTAGAGTATGTGTGTGTGTGTGTGTGTGTGTGTGTGTAGGTCGTTGAACAGCTTTGTGGAGTTGATTATCCCTCCACCTTTCTCAGAGTTCCAAGAGTCAAACGCCAGTGGGTAGGCTTGTGCAGCGAGCCATCGTGCCTTCCTGAGAATTTATTTCAATTTTTGATTGAGTCCTTGAAGTATTGATTCTAAAAGTGATTGTATCTAGGTAGCAGATTATTTTATTAATTTAGCTTTTTTGGTATTTTCATTTTCTTTTAAAGAATTTTTAGGGCAGTGCTTTTATTAGGACAAGCTCCTTAATAAAAAACTATGGAAGTTAAGGTTAAGTTATTAAGAAATAACTTAATATTGTCCTGTTGCAAAAAAGCTCAACTTTTATTGTACTTCACTCTTAAGATGATTCTTCTCATTGCAGGCAATTCTTGAGAGGAAATCGCATGTCCTTGTGAATAGCCGAAGGCTCTCAGCTCTGACCTGACTGTTCTTGTTGACAGGGAAATGGCTATTCCTTTAGTATTACTCAGTTTCCAGTCCAGAGCATCAAGTTTATCCCCAAGTGTTTGGAAACAAGCCAGAGTTAGGACAGGAGGGAGTAGGTGCTTGGGCTGGCTGAGGTGGGGTAGGCAGGCTCCTCAGTCTACTCCTGTGCTCAGCAGGGGCATGCTGCAGAGAAGCACCTGAGCACCCAGACCTGCAGAGTTGGTGGGAAGAGAATTTATCTGCATAGAATTTTAACTCGAAAAAGACTTTTCTTTAAATTGCTAAAGATTATGTTTTTAATGTCATTTTCAAGTTCAGTTATCACAGCTGAGGCAAGTTGAGTAACATGCTGCCACACTCAGATTTCTTTCAGGTTTTTTCAGGTTTTTTCAGACAGTAAGAGACCTGATTGGCAGCATTGCTATTAACTTCGTTATATGACACAAAGTCAGGAATGCTCTTTATCATTCACTTCTTCTTTTTGCTCTGGTTCTTCATACAGACCCTGTGAGACTTGAGCTAAATTGCATTTAAGATAAACAGTTGGAAAAAAAGCTATTACAGCTACTTGTCTGAAAAGATGGAAGAAGGGAAACATGGTTTTGATAAATTCTGAGTTATTTAAACACTAGTGAAATGGCAGAATCTTAGGAAGTGAAATTCAGCCAATTTGTACAAGCTCAGAGAGCATGCTAGGTGCCCACTTGGCAGCACTTAAGCCTCATACAATGTTTTGTGATTTACCGTTTTTTAGAAATTTGTTTATTTGGCTGGGTGATGGTGGTGCACCCCTTTAATCCCAGCACTTGGGAGGCAGAGGCAGGCAGATCTCTGTGAGTTCAAGGGCAGCCTGGTCTAACACAGCGAGTTGCAGGACAGCCAGAGCTGTTACATAGAGAAACCTTGTCTTGAAAAACAAACAGAAACATTATTTCTTTTTACATTTGTATACTTGGTGCGTGTGGATGAGCACTTGTGGAGGTCAGAGGACAACCTATAGGATTCATTCTGTCCTTCCCTATGTGGGTTCTGGGGATTGAAACTCTGGTTGTCTCTTGGGAGCAAACTCCTTTCCCCACTCAGCCACCTTGATGACCTGTGCTTTACTAACTTTTATAAAGGTTCGAGTCAGCTGAAGTTGAGATGTTATTAAGTTTGCTCACTCCCTAGAACAGGGACCTCCTCTCCCTCAGACATTTTCCAGCTTTTAAAGTGTTTTATTATGTTTGAATTTTGACTTACAGCCTCAGACTTACCTAGCAGAGGATGACCTTGAACTTCTGATCCTCTGGCTTCTACCCCTTAATGCTAGGATTGCAGGTGTGTGTGGAGTAGGGACTGAAGCCAGGGCCTTGTGCATGCTCAGCAAGCACTGTACCAACTGAGCTACATCCTCAGATCAGTTTCTCAGCGTTTAACCTGTTTCTGTTTTTAAATTAAATTAAATTTAAAATAAACATTTAAAAATTGTGCGTGTGTGCACTCGTGCGCGTGTGCGTGCATGCTTGCTTGTTTGCTTGCACTTTTACTTGAGTGCACATTCACCTTTGGCACATCACATGTTACCTATGGCCTACGTATGGGGTCAGAGGACAATTTGATGGAGTTGGTTCTCTTCTTCCATCATGTGAGTCTCTGGATCAAGCTCATGTCATCAGGCCCGGTGGTAAGTACAACTCCAGGGCCTTTAACTAGTATTTTGCTTCTTTTTTTCCTTACTACATAGCTCTGGCAGGCTGGAGCTTGCTATGTAGACTAGGCTGTCCTTGAACTCCCAGAGCTCTACCTGTTTATGCCTCTAGAATGTTGGAATTAAAAGAATGCACCACCACACTCAGCTGTAGTGTTACTTTTAAAAATTAAAAATAGAAGTCTTTCTGGACCAAAGGAATATCTAAATAAATTGATGTATTTATTTGATGGAATATTACATCTTCAATAATATGATAAGTAAATATATTACTGTGGACAGTGTTGAATTTGCTGAGAGGGAAAAGTACATTAACTGTCATGTTTATATGGGCTGTACCATGTAAAATATGTAAATTTTAATAGTTGGATAAAAGCATAAGCAGTAAAGTGAACACTTTAATTGATGAGATTATGGTAAGCCTTAATGTAGGATTTTATTAGTGTTCCAATGTTAATTGTGTGACGGCAATATAACATCAGAACAGTGAGCTAGAGTCAGCACAAAACAACCAAAATCAACCAACCTGAACAGGCCACCTTCTACACAGCACAGCACACCTACTCATAAAGGGATTCTGGCTTGGAGATGGTTTACAACCAAGTTCAATTCCCAAAGTATTCTCTTGTAGCAAATTATTGTCTTGCAAAGTAATATAGATTCTTGTGGCACTTGTGATTGTGTTAATTTACATAGTCTTGCAAATAGTTTAGGTAGTATATTCTGTGGCCATTGGATAATTGGATCTTAGTTAATTTTCCTAGTTTTGATGAAGGCTCATTTTTTTCTTAGTGTTTAGACAGGACCTCACTGTGTAGGCCAGGCTGGCCTCAAAAGTCCACCTTTTTCTGCCTCTGCTGGGGTTAAAGGTGTGTGCTATTACACCTGCCTGAAAACTAATTTTTAATGCTTTTTAAGAAAAGATTTATATACTTTACTTTTTGTGTGGATGAGGGTTTTGCCTTTATGTATTACTGTGCATCATGTACATACCTAGTGCTTGAGGAGGTCAGGAGAGGGTGTTTGATTCCTTTGGAGCTGGAGTTACAGATGGTTATAGCCATCTTGTGGATGCTGGGAACTGAACCCAGGTTTTCTGCATTGCTGAGCCGTCTCTCCAGCCCCTAAAGGCTATTTCTTTCTTTTTTTCTTTTTCTTGGGAGGTTGGGGGTTGAAACAGAGTTTCTCTGTGTAACATCCCTGGTTGTCCTGGAACTCGCTCTGTAGAAAAGTCTGGCCTTGAACTCACAGAGATCCACTGCCTCTGCCTCCCAAGTGCTGGGATTAATGGGTATGTGCCATCACCACCTGGCTTTAAAGGCTAATTTTTAATTGCATGGAAATACCCAATATTGAGATTTCTCCTTCCTTCCTTCCTTCCTTCCTTCCTTCCTTCCTTCCTTCCTTCCTTCCTTCCTTCCTTCCTTCCTTCCTTCCTTC